CACGCTGGTGTGGTGGTATAAGCTCCACTGCCCTGATATCCAGGAGGTGTTGGATCACCTTTTGTGTTATTAGCCTCCTCTGGGCATAAGGAGGAGATGACGAAGGGTTCCGGTGGGTGTCTCTCGAATTCTATGGCACAACTTTGAGAGACAACCTCTAAGGTCCAGGCGTCTGCTTGGGCATCAAACCAAGCTTGTTGGAAATGAAGCTGGCGCCCCCTCCCCCCCAATATCTGGTGAGTTATGCCTTGGGGGACTTGGAACCCAAGTCTGGCCGTTCGACAAGGGATGAGAAATGTCTGTTGTTCCTAGGGTTGAAGGACCCTTTCTTGAAGTTCTGGCATGTATAGCCCCAGGCTGATATCTTGGGATCCTGTCTGGGTCTGAGCAGTGTATGCTGCGTCCGAAAGGACTGAGAGCCAACGTACCATCTGTCAGAACAATGTACAGTCCTGGGCATCGCCTTCTTCTTGTCTCTGGTTTCAATCAAAATCTTTTCCAGGGCATCTCTGAATAGCTTTTCTCCATGGAGGGGATAGGACAGAATAATGTTCTTGGAATGTAAGTCTGGTGGCCAAGCTCTTAGCCAGAGATGTCTAGCTACTGCTGCTGAGGCAATTGTTCTAGAAGTGAACATCTAGGGTGAAGTCTGCAGTAAAGGTGCTGACCTTCAGAACCCTACTGGCACCTTCTAGGGGGCATTTGTTGTTTTCTGGAAGAACCTGAATCAGTTTTCTCATCCAGACGATGGAAGCTCTGGCCACTATAGAGGAGATGGTGGAAGCTTTGATGGCTATGGCTAGTGCTTCATGGGTTCTCTGCAGTACCGCCTCCCCTTTACTGTCAAAGTTGTCATGAACTGTGCCTTGGCCTCCAATAGGAGACCCGATGACTGTAGACCAGCCACTGGGGCATCAACTGCGGGAACCTGCAACATCTCATGCACAAACAAAGGCATTGTATACAGTTTCTAGACTAACTGTGGAAATCGTCGGTTGACAGTTGGTTTAGACCATTCAGCCTTCATTTGTCTCTCGAAGTACTCTGGGAAGGGGAAGACTTTTGGAGAGAAGTCGTCCCTGGGGAAAAATTCTTCCATCCCCCAAGTCTTACATCTGGAGGTCCCTGGCTTGCCTCCTCTTCCCCCATGGATGTATCGTGGAGTTGGAGGGCAGCCACAGTCTTTGACAATAAGAATTAATATAGTCCTCTGGTTTAAAGAGGTGGGAGGAAGGCTTAAGCACAAACACCTCTTCCTCCTCCCCCTCCTCCTTGCTCTCAGAATCACTGTCAATGGGTAGAACCCCTTTCCATTGGGGTCCCCTGTCCCTACTCCCCTCCAGGGATCTCTTTTGGGCAGCTTTTGTGGGCCATTGCTTCCCCCTGGGAGGCAGTCTGGGTTCCAGGGGGTGGGAGAAGGAGAGGAAAGGTTGGAATCAGATCTCTCAACATTTAGGGCAGCTGGTTGGCATATATTATAAATTTCTTCTCTCATGGCCTGTTTCATTAAGGCAAATAAATCTATGGGCATACTAGGAGCCCCAAGTATGTTACCCATCTGTAGAGAGAGGTTGTGTTGAACTGGCAGGGCTTGACCGCGAGGAGAAAAGCCTGCAATGAACTCTCCTGCCATGAGGTTGGCATGGTTGGCGCCCAGGGCCGTTCTGGAGCTTGAGAGACTCCTGCCTTGATTTCCCACCATTTCCACAGGGAAGATTATGGCACCGCCTGTGGCTGCCAGGCAGGCGGGCTGGACCCTCTTCAGGCTCTTGCCCTTCAAAGTGTGGCCTTTTGGCGGTCTTCTGCAGCGCTAAAATGGCCAACTCCTTGCCAACAGCGCACACAAGCCACGAAGGCATGTCAGCACTGGGTTGCTCCTCTCTTGTCACTAACCACGCAGCCGCTGAAGCAAGATCCTCCTTGTCAAGGAAGTCATCATGTGTTTCCCCTGGCTTCCATCGGGCTCACCGAGTTTCAGGAACTCTGTGGGCGATCGGATAGCCGCCACTGCCACTGGTTGTAATGGTCAGGAACAAATAGAGGGAGGAAGCCCAGGTAAAAAAAATTAGTAAAAGGATGATCCAAGAGGTTGGGGTAGGCAAGAAAGACAGAGAAGAGAAACAAGTGTAGAAAAAGGAATCAGGAAGGAAAAGATTAACGCAATAGAAAGGTAATCAGTAAGAAAAATAGTAGGCAGAGCCTGCTACAGAACTGCTCTCCCTCTGATGCAGGAACAGAACTGAAGATAGGGAGTGTCCCACACACCAGACAAGAAAGAGAAGAATCTAGTTCCTGCCTCCCTGACTGGACAGTGGGAAGCACCCAAAGATGTCCTCTGCCTCAGAGGGAGAACTGATGAGATCAGGATACACCATGCCACCTTCCCTCACACATTAAAAGTCATTTATGTTTTTGTAGTCTTTTTACTAAATCGCTTTAGTTTTGTTATAACTCTTTCTACTTAAGACATGATGGAAATTCATAAACCTTTAGTTTTGTTATAACTCTTTCTACTTAGACATGATGGAAATTCATAATCACCTGAGACCTCTACAATGGGCAGTCCCATCCTAAGATCTTGACACCTGCTTAGTGTTGATCTAATTTGCTAGTCAGTATCCTTCACTTGCTCAGCAAAAAGGAAAAGTGCAGAAAAGGCTCCACTACAAGATGCACAGCACACTTACACCATAGTCCATAGCAATTTCACCACAGTCCACCAATCATTAGGCAGTGTGCTAACAATGCCCCTGTGAAAGCAGCCAATCAGTACATGCTGTCATGCCCATTCTAGAATGGCACCGATTACCAGAAAGATCTTTCAAGATGCGGGGTGTAACTTTCTCTTGACTAAGTCCCAGTGAGGCTTGGATACATAATATTGTTCTGAGGTGACCAAGAAGGGAACAATGAGATTGAGTGGTGAAGAACCAGTAACTCATGCAGAAAAAAACAGTAATCCCTCAACATGCTGCAAACACTGCAAAGGATGTGGTGATTAAGTGCTGCACAGGCACCCTCCCACAGCATACTTTAGAAACCAAAAATGTTGTGGTCCTAATAAACTCACTGATGCCCCTAAGACTGAGGACAGAGCAAAGAACCTGAGGAGTTTTTTGCAGGAAAGGTAACATTCCTGGAGTAAAACCCTAGTCCTCTTTGGGAACGAGGCAGTATTTCTATGACCTTTTTCTGCAGGATAGAACCCATATGCTGGAGAAGTACGGGGGAGAGAGGGGTACAGATGCTACATGGTGGAAAAGAGATAATTTTAATTAAGCATAACAGCCTGACAACAGTTAACACACACTTGTCAGTTGTTCCTGACTCTCAGGTTTGGAGGTACTGGGAATGATGAATTACTGGAACTAGAGAGGAGTTGTAGACACCTTCAAAATTGCCATTTAAAGCCAGATGAAGACTTGGGCTGTGATACTGGTTCTGATTTTGAAGTAGAGTACAAGGACTTGTATTAAGAGAAAAAAAGTATCTCGAAGGATGAGTAATCAGACAAAAAACAAGACTGTTGTAACGGTCTAGATAATGGCTGCCACTGATGCCTCTTGTAAGGCTTGAAAGGTAGAGGAATGATGTCTATTGACTTCAGTGTATAGCACAATTTTGCCAATGCTCCGGCTTGTTTTGTCTCTTGTTGCTTAAAAGACCTTTGTCTTCAAGAAGTTAGTCTTCAATATGCACTTTTGGCCTGTGTCATATTAGTTCGCAAGAGAGTTTCAGGGGTACCATGGACCAAGACCAATACGTAGGTTCTAGATCAAATCATGCTTGAATTCTCCCTAGAAACTAAAACTAAGGCTATCAAACTTTGGACATGCCAAGAGAAGATATGACTCTCTTGAAAAAGCAATAATGCTAGGAAAAGTTGAAGGCAGTAGGAAAAGAGGATTGGAAGATAAAACATGAGATGGATTGACTCAATAAAGGAAGCCACAGCCCTTGTGCTATAGACCCTTCAACCAAACACATCTGATTTTCTACGCTCCCTAAACACAGGAAGTGAATGAATCACTACCTTTCCTTGGCCTTTGGAGGTGTCCACTACTGTGGATTTTGGCTCAGAGGTTAAGATGCTGAGCTGCAAACTGGAAGGTCTGTAGTTCGGCAGTTCGAGACCCTAGTGCCGCTTGATGGAGGGAGCTCCTGTCTCTGGCCCCAGCTCCTGCCAGCCTAGCAGTTCGAAAGCAAGAAAGTACAAGTAGATAAACAGGTACCGCTGCAGTGAGAAGGTAACAGTGTTCCATGCACCTCGGCATTTAGTTATGCCAGCCACATGACCACGGAAACATCTTCGTGCAATGCTGGCTCTTCGGTTTGGAAACGGAGATGACCACCACCCCCTTAGAGTCAGATTCGACTAGCTTTCGAGCAAGGGAAACCTTTACCTTTTTATGGGGGGAAAAACACAGTCCTCTGGTTAAATCCAATACACACTTCCAGTGCATCTCAAGACTGGTGCACTGAAGGCAGGCTTAACCCAGGATTTTTCGGTGAGTTGAAGCAAGGCTTTTAAGGTGACTGGGGCATGAGACTCTGCTTCAATAAACCCAAGCACAAGATCTGATTGCTGAGGAAGTTGTTGAGATGCCTGGATCCCAAGAGCTGTAGCCATTCTGGTCTTTTAAAAAACAGCACATAGCAAACAGTAATAAAACCTAACATTAAGGAGCTGGCTGATAGCTGTCTGGCACAATGTTCTCACTGATTACATGCCCAGGATCCATGTATCATGCGCATATATCATAAACCAAGCTATATAAATAGACCTGCCTTGTCTGGAGTGCTGTTCTGTTGTTGTTTTTTAAACTTGGGGAGGCATTTGATGTACTTAGTGGGGAGTAGGGGATTAAAGGTTAAGCACCACAGAGTTAGGTAACTTAACCTTCACTGATTTGTACCACATTGCCATTAATCACACCAGATGAGGTTCATGGTTTCTCAGGAGACAATCTAGCACTAAAAATAATCGTTTCTGTTCTTACCTGGATGGCTTTGAGAACTCATTGCTAGAAGAACCTCAACTCTTTAAAACAAGTATTAAAGAGGGGCTGACTTCTGAAGAGATTCAGTGCACAGGTGGAAAACAGGAAGCATATCCAGGAAACACATTCATAACCAGTCAGTCAGAAAGACATTCTCTGCTGTAAAACAATGTCATCCAGTGGGATAGTAGACAATCTTCATGTTGCTTCCCAAGTGTAGATCTGTAGAGAAGTTAGTGGAAAAATTGTAAGAAACCAAGTTCATAAAACACACACACATACATATATATATTGATATATACTGATATATATTTTAGTTTTACAATTTTGAATCACATGACATAGCATCAATTCCTATTTACTCATATCCCTCCCCAGCCTCTTCTTGCCCTGTTTTCCAGTGGCATTCTCTACCCACATATTACAGGTTCTGAGCATTCTGAACCCAAGTGGTTGTACTTAGCGCACTATGGGAATGGGAAGCTCATTCTGGGGACTTCTCATAGCTGCATACTTTGGTAGGCTGGGTTTCTGGTACGTGCATCTTTCTATTTTATGGGACATCTGCACAAAAACACATCAAATGACCACATGCATTGCCTACACTTTAACAAAGCTTCCATTCCTCATTTCAGACAGTCAGGACAATCTACATGCACTGCTTCCAATACAGTTCAAAGCCACCATAATGGCACAAAAATGCTGCCAAGTAGAGCATGTCCCTAGAAAGCAGAGGTAAGTTCTAAATCATTGACTCATTAATTCATCTGAAGAAAGAACAGAGGATAATTTGTAAAAACATTAAGTAGAAATTGTTTAGGATGGAATGTACTTCAGCATATAAATATAAAATGGATTTCCTTTGTTTACATCATACCAGGTGGAAGTTAGATGGATATTTCATTACCTGGTTTCAGGGTTATTACAGACCCAAGATTACACAGATCCCCACACATGCAAGAGCCAGACCTGGATTTAGGAAATCCATGTCTGTGCATATGAAGATATGAGTTGGAAAAGAAATGAACCACTTTTATTTAACTACGTTGACTTTGACTACCAAGTAGAGAGAGAAAATACGAGAATGAAAAAATATTTCATTGACAATAGCAAAAATATTGTGGCAAATTTAAACAACAATGGGTAAAACACATCTGGGTACCATTTAATTCCTGGAAAAAAAACAGATGTGTCTCACCCACAGCTGATGCAAGGGGAACCCATCCATGAAAAGGAGGTAGATTCATGTGACCTTCAAAAGAGATAGGAAGTTGGATTGCTGGGAGAGGAAGAAGAGAGAAAAGGTCCTTAGGCAACATGGTTTGCCAGGGAGGGAAGTGAAATGCAAAGTTGTGGCTTGGGAAGGTAGAACTGGAAGTGGTATAGAATAATTAAAGAGGGAACGTCGAAAACATGGGATGTGGGAACGTTTCAGATCAGGACAGCAATAAGGTTAGTGGGTGCACAGAGCCAGCAGAGAGGCATTCCATGAACAGATTCCAAGGTTGGGACAGCCATCTGATAGGACAAAGAAGAGAAATGGCAAAGCAAGAGATGAGGGAAAGGTGGCAAATTAAAGTACATTAGTATATACAAGTGCAAGCAGGAGTGGAGAATGTTCTGGATGAGAACTCAAACTTCAGACTCTGGATGAACCACTGGATATTTATCCCAACTTTCCTGCTACTTTAGGGTTCATGAGATACTTGCAGGAACTCAAATTTTACCTCACCAGAAACTAGTCTGGGGAATTATGCTGATTTTGAAAGAGGATGATTCCGTATTTTGTGATTAACTCAGGAAGATGGCTAATTTTTCCTCTGTAATAGGCTAGTATTATTTTCTGATGGATAAGGTGACTGGCTTACAAGCAAGATGGATAAAATCAATGAATTTTTTAAAAAATAAAAAAATCAAATTTAATTTTTTAACTTAAATTAGATTTTTAATTTAAATTGGATTTTTAAATAAAATGCTAGTTTTCTATTTAAGATACATTATAGCCCAAAGGTTAGTCATCATGAAATAAGGATTAGTTTTAATTATGCAGCATCAGGGTTGTATATTCATGCACTTTAAATTTTTTGGTAAATGAAGTCTATTAATCCATTCACAATGTCACGCTCT